GAAAGTTTTTGAGAATGTGACAGCGGAGAAAGGTAAGTTTAGCCTCACTTATGCATTTGCCAAGCTTCTACGAAATCCAAGGTGCTAGCAAGTCGCGGATAACGAAATCCATGCGGCAAATCAATTTTGCACGAGTCCTCTGGGATTTTCAATGACTTTTGACGTTCTGGTTGAGCTTCGACCGGACGCGAAAAGACGAAGATTCGAGAGCGAAGCGAGTGAATAGGTGGATGAGAGGATGGGCTTCCGTGACGCGGAAGAGAATTCGTTACATTATTCAACAAGACCACACGGAACACACGCTAGACAGGAAGAAAGCATTTCTTATTTTTGCCAATCCTACTTGCTATTCCGATACAAAGAATTTGTCCACCTAACACACGAACAAGAAACTATTATTCCAACCGGTCTAAAAGTATTTGTTTTACAAAATACGTATAGATCGATGAAAATAATTATTTCCAGTGAATAAAAATTTAAAAATCATTCCGAATATGGATACATATTTTCATTAGATAAACTCGTATTAACGTTTAAGTTAACGTAACGAATGATATATCGGTATTTCGCATTAATTACCACCATTTGCGGTATGTACGCTGTTATCAAGGAACGTCATTTGTCTTCTAAGGAAGACGGACATGCGATGTACTATATCGATCCAAAGCTTCGCAACAAGCGATGTAACATTAATTACCGATATCTAACTTAGATCCTGTTATTAATCATCATCGATACCGCGAATGAAATTAGATATGTTTGTTAAATGCAAACCAAATAAAATATTTGAAAAATTTATATTCCTTTTTATTTAGTTTTCCTACGAATAATTTATATATATTTAAATTAGAGAGTGTGTATTAGAATACACGCATAAGTACATGGTATACGTGCGACAATGTATATATTAAAAATAATAAACGAAAGAATTTAATATCTAATATCTTTAATATGACAAAATGTTTTTCCACATCTTATATTATATTATTAACAAGTTAAAGTTTCTAGCGCCCAAACGCGAGATTTATATTAAATTGTTCGATTTATTTTCTTTGTCAATTTTTCAACAAAAAAATTTTTGAACAAAATATATTTCGACAATTGTCTATAGGAAAAGAAAAACGCAGCGATAATTTTATAACGTTCAGAAATATTTATTCGGAAAGGATCGTAAAAAGTATGTATACAAATGTTTTGAAACGAAAAACTTGTAGAAAAGTATTGAGGAAAATAGCAAAAGGAAATTTCTTGGAAAAAAAAGAGGAAAAAAAAGAAAACAAAAAAATATAAGGAAATAAGAATACACATATACCTGAAATGTACATGTATATGTAAATATGCAAATGTACTAAAAGTCACACGGATGTTCCCATTTCATTTACCATTATATGCAAAGGTATATTTACTTGGAAATATTTTAAACACGAAACATTACAAATCGATCAGATCGATGTTTTCTACTTTCGTATATTCCCTATATCTCCTACACTCCTCTCTCTATTCATCATAGATCCGAGATCGAACTCTCGATTTTTGACGAGTTAATATCTCGCGCGCTATAATTTGAATAATTTCATTTCAAACTTGTAGGGACACGGAAATATCTTATACCTATACCTATACATAGATCGATACAGCCTTATTTTCTACACGCGACATGTTTTCCATACGATTAATATTCGCAACAACGGGGTAAAACGAGAAAAAAAATATGATGAAACACACGGATAACGACACGACATATTTCAACATTAATTAATTCATAGATGAAAAAAAATTATTTCGTTGTCAGAAAGGAATAATTTAATCGGGTGTATACAAATGTTCAATACTTTGAATGGAAATAAAAACGTTATATATAATATCGGTAATACTTAAAATTAGTTAATCGTAGTAAAAATTCACGACGTTACGATTCATTCGTTCGTTTAGGTACTCTAAAATCCATTAAGAGAAAATGCACGCAAGCGCCACTTTACCGCGACCAGTGGGGTACCTGTTCAAACTTTTAATCGGATCGTTTCCCTCGTTTATTCTCCATCTCTCGTCAGCTATTCACACGCTTTCTTTTTCTCTCTCAATTCTATCTTCAGCACTTTTGATACCTTTTTATAATATCACGAATATCAGCGAGATTTTCTTTTCACCATCAAATCGTCTTTCCGTAAAAACTTTTTGTCAATTTTCCACCAATTTAATTTTCTTTTCTTTTTCTCCAAACATTTCAACTATATTCGGTATATTCGGTATCGCGTTTGCCGCATAAAAAGAGATATTTTGGAATTTTTAAACGAACTTTTCAACTCGCCGTACGCAACAAAACGAAACGTCGATGTTTATTGGATCGCATCCCTAATTTTGATATAATAACGGCGCAAAAAAAAAGATGAAAAGATAGAAGAAAACTAAAAATACGTTATGGCTTTTAGAGATAGAATCGGAGAAAAAGATTGGGAGGAAAGAAGAAAATGAAGCGAACGGTTTGCGGCATAGCTAGTTTCTCTTCTGCCATACGGTTTTCTTTTATCGAGTTGGGCAGATCCAATAGGGATTACGAAAACTGGATGGAATAGTAGAACAGGATAGAATAGCATCTCTCGCAGGATTTTCTCAGATCCTCTTCCTTCGATTCATAAATATCCCTCGGCTATAATACCGTGCTGAAAGACTCCCATGAGTACCTTTGCGATATTCACTATCGAAACAACTTCTCCGTACAACATTTTTATCCCTTATCCCGTCCGCTCGTCCAACGTGTGAAAACGAATCGAATCTTTTCATATTATAAATATAATTTTAGATGAAACGATACGAACGATAAATATCGGTTTAAAATGTAACAAAAAAGAAAAAGAAACAAAAACAAAAAGAAAAGTCCATTTTTGCAAAATAACGAGAATGTACTTAAGCTGCGATGTGTTATGCACAATGTGTTATATCGGAGCTTAACAACGTTTAATCCGTTAATCTGATCACACGGTCGCTCGAATCAATTTACGTAATGTACGATCGGTTCGAGGATTCTCTTGGCCGAAAATCTGTGGTTTAAATCATTGAAATCTCGCAGCTGCTTCTTCCATAACTTCCACTTTTATACGACTTCCCGTCATATGCACTCTCTTTCATTATCGGTTTCATCTTTCTTCTCTTTCCTTTTTCCTCTTCTTTTCTGAAAATCTGCCAACGCCATAAGTGCCATCAAGTTGGATGTACCTTTAAATTTCGTTAGATTTACGATTTCAATATCGTTTTAACGATACCTCTTGAAATTGAACACGTCATTAATTTATAGAGAGAAAATGCTTTCCGTAAATATTTAATCAGTTTTCAGCCAATTTATCACCTCTTTACGAAATCTAACATTCTCTATTTTTTCTCTTTCTCTCTTTCTCTCTCTCTTTCTCTTCTTTTCCAATTACCAGTTATCCACCGGTAAGAAAGGAAAGAAAAAAAAATAAAAATAAAAAAGATTTTCGACCGTCTTTCCATCGCTGACATCAGGCACATCCGTATCGAGATAAAAATCTTGCAATTTCACAGACTTGGAGAAGCTTGTGATACCGGTATATCTTACTCGAGGAAATTACACGCATTTTTCTTTTCTGCGTTGCATGGGAAGAAGAGAGGAAGGAGAAAGAAGAGAGAAAAGGAGAAAGTTTCGAAACAAATTTACCTTTAAAATATCCCGTATAAATTTATATCTATAATCTTGATTCTATCTTATTCTCAATTCCAAAAATTATTCTTATTGTGAATTTTACTTTCAAATTTTCTCGAATCACGAATTAAGTAATTTTTTCGTATTTTAAATAAATACTCGCTTTTACAAAAATATATCGCTTTAAACAAGAATAAAAAGAACGTAAAGAAACGATAATAATTTATGAACAAAAAAATTCCTTGTTTAAATTCTTTTCTATCGGATCTTATACGTGGAAATAAAAAAAAAAGAAATAATAATTACGATAATTGAATATAATTTTTATAAGGAAAACAAAATCTAATTATATATCTATATATTACAAACAATAAATATGAAAAAACAAAAAATATGAGAATTTCTATCAACCTATTTTCTAATCAAGCAATTTAGAATTTGAAACACGATGACTCTTCTTCTTCGTATATCTCTTTTACTTACTATCTTACTTTTAGTCTCTTAGATGTACAATTATATCTAGATACTTAGATATCTAATGCAATATGATTCAAAAATTTCCAGACCATTACGTCGTACGATGCTTGTCTCTCATCTTTTCAAATGCCTCAATTTAAGAAATATTCTGATCTGAAACAGAAGTTGAATAACTTTTATCCCCAATTTTTTCCCCAAAAA